TTTCCTTCCAATCCTTTGCTCTCATGTCTTTTGGTATAGAATCTAGCACTTTCCTGCTGTTAGTAATCCATTTATGGAGTGTAAGACCTGCCTTGGCACACAACTTAGTAGTGGAATCAATCAACTTTATAGCCTCTTGCTCTGTGGGGACAGATTTAAGTCCATCATCTACGTAAAAGTTTTCTCGAACAAACTGAGCAGCCGTCGTCGTCGTCTGCTGCACGTTTTAGTCCAAAATTGGCACATCCTGGCGAGCTTACAGCACCAAACAGGTGGACACTCATTCTGTACTCTTCTACCCTTTTACTAGGATCACCATCTTTCCACCATAGAAATCTTAGCAAGTCCCTGTGTTTGGGCAAAACTCTAAACTGGTGGAACATACTTTTCACATCCCCCATGATGGCTATGTTCTCCCTTCTAAATCTACACAATACGCCCAGAAGGTCATTTGTCAAATCAGGTCCCTGTAACAGACAATCATTTAACGATATTCCGTTAGCCCTTGCCGAACAATCAAACACAACGCGAATTTTGTCAGGTTTCCTCGGATGATAGATGCCGGTGTGAGGTACGTAATTTATTTTTCCCTCTTCTGCATTGCATTTGGGTACTGGTTCAGCACATTCGACCAAAACGTCATCCATAAAGGCACAGTAATCCCTTTTGAACTTCTCATTCTTCTTGAACCTTCTACCAAGCTGATGCAGACGTTTCAGTGCCATAGACCTGTTGTCTGGTAGATTAACTTCCTGTCTCTTATACACATCGTGGCTGCTTCTGGGAACATTAAACTTAAAATTGACAAACTCACATTTCTGCTTAAGTAAGTACTTGGATATCTTGTCTTGATCCAAACTTTGTTCGGTAGCTTTCATTAATTCATTATTCGCACCAAAAAAATTGGTACCGCAATCTGCTCTTATCTGTCGGGTTGGACCACGTAAACACAGAAATCTTCTCATAGCATTGATGAAAGAGTCAGTGTCTAGGGAATTTGTAGTTTCCAGGTGGATCGCTTTTGATGACATACAAACAAACAGCACACCATAGCGTTTTAGTTCCGATCTTCTCTCCTTAATCAGGAACGGGCCAAACAAGTCCACACCTACATATGAGAAGGGTGGAGCATCTGTCACTCTATCCATTGGTAGATCATTCATTTTCTGTGTTTGGAACACACCTCTTAATTTTCTGCAGTTCACACACTTCTGTATGACCTGTCTTACCACGCCCGATCCATTCACTATCCAAAAACCATGTTGCCGTGCATGGTTAAGTGTTGAAGTTCTTCCCATGTGGTTAAGCTTTTCGTGGTAATGCCTCACAATCAACATTGAGATATGACCTTGTTTTGGCAGCAAAACTGGATATTTCACGTCATATGGTTGGGTCGAGTTCTTAATCCTACCTCCAACTCGGAGTACACCATTCTCATCCAAGAAAGGATCTAACTTTCTGGCTGAAATTGACCTAAGTAGACATTTGTATTCGCCTCGCCTCTTTCTGTCTTCAAAGTTAATTTCTGTCAACCTTAATGTCTGGATTTCTTTATTAAAATACTCTTGTTGAACGAGTTTTATTAACAGCATTTCTCCTCGTTGCAGTTCCTGTACAGTCATAGGATTATTACAAGTCGATTTCTCTTTATTAATCTTCTTCTCAGCTTTCAGCAACCTATCCTTAAATCTTAAACAATTTGCTGCTGCACGTGTGGCTTTATACCAACAGGAAAATCTTTCAAAGCGTTTCAGAATCCCATCATCTCCCTTTGCTTTTGTAAGTAGGCTAGTTACATTACTCTTCATTTCTTTCTTAATGTCGGCGACATCACTGGCCTCATAGCAAATATCTTGATCCACTTGTGGAACAAACTCCTTTTCCCACAGAAATGGTGGACCATTTACCCACCTTGAATTAAGACTCAACTGCTTAGCCGTTAGTCCATGACTGCCATCGTCACTGGGATTGTCCTCCGATCGAATGTACCTCCACTGATTGATATCGGTTAGATCTCTGATGGTTTGAGCCCGATTTGCCACATAAGTGTGGAAACGTTTGGTTTCATTATTTTATCCCAGGACTACATTACTGTCTACCCAGAAAAAATGCTTTGTCATGCCACATCTTAGCTCTCGTTGCAGGTATGATGACAACCTAGCTGACACCACTGCTGCTGACAGCTCCAGTCGAGGTATTGTAATTTTTCTATTTAAGGGTGTTACCCTGGCCTTGCCTAACACGAATGTTACGTGTGGTGCTATATTCTCATACACTACCCGAAGGTAAACTGCCACTCCATAACCAGTCTGGCTGGCGTCGGAAAAATAATGC